TAATTTGACATAATTTATCAAAAGGCTATTTTATAGTATTAATATATTTTAAAAACCTTATGTAAACATAGCTGCTAATAATATTCAATTAAAATTTGTCATAAGGCATGTGGTCAGTCTAACACTGTAAATAAAATAAACTTAAACCTGTGAGCTCTCCATAGATCCGTTACCGACGGTTAATAAAGCATTATTTGGAAATTTGGAGGCAATCTTTAGTATGAACTCAATTGGAGCGAACTCTACCGGACAGGCAATGGCGCAACTGTTGAGATGTGCCCTGAGCTGAGCGGGCGGTCCGGCGTATACACAGTGACCACCCTTTGACAGGACATACAACTGGTCAAAGAGTGATAGGATTAGAGAGTTTGGCTGATGTATTGACGTGACGATTGCCATCTCATGTTTTTCAGTCAAATGTTTTAAACATTGGATTACCTCAATAATTATAAAAACAATAAAATAATTTTTATAAATGATTTTATACTGAATTATAGTTAAAAATTACAATTTCTGCTGAATTGCTGTCTAAACCACTCGTCGGTTCGTCAATACACAAGAGGTTGGGTTTGGTTTGTTGTACTAATTCCAGACCCACTGTCAGGCGCTTCCGCTCTCCACCACTGCATCGCTGGACANCCTCCAGAAGCAGTTCACACAACAGTCGCCGAACATTCATAGAGTGATCAAACTTGCCGTCGATGTCCAGCGGCTCCAACTCCTGTCCGAACCCAAACCCCGACTCGAGTGCCGTTTTGTCGCTTTCGAACGCTGCCGACGGAGCGATATTAATGGGTCTGTCGTAGATGTGACTAATGGTCACTCTATTCTTGATTTTCGAGGCAAACACTAGGGATTCTCTATTTAGTAATGTTGTAATTATATCTCAAGATTAATAAATTGCTGTTAAATATTGTTTTAAACATAAATCTGACTATCAATAGGGTGACCAAATGGCCTATAAATTCTTTGTATTTAGTAAAGTTTAAGATGGAATTCTCACATTTTAATCATGTTTAATCAGATTGATTAATAAATAATGTAATTTATGGTGCATTTTCGATTAATTTACAATCTGGTAATTTAAATAATAACTAACCTAACAGTTAATCCATTGAGAATGTGTTCGTTCTCTGATTGCATAATAAAAGCGGTTCTCAATTGAGTTGTTTTGCTGACAAAGAGTTGTGTTTCTGGACTCAGGCCTCTGTTTGAGCGCATATTCACGCACTTCAATAGCGTTGACTTTCCCGCACCCGACGGACCCATGAGTGCCGTCAATGACTGGAAAGTGATTCTACCGTTCAATGCGTGCAAAATAGTGTTCGGCTCACGATTTCGGCCAAACAGACCCTTTCGGCCGTAACTCAAGTCACACCAACCCATCGCCAACTCATCTCTATTATACTTATGGCCTTCACTTTTAACTTTACTCTAAATTGATCATGAGCAATTAAATATCAATTAAACACAAATTAAATAACTAATTAAATGTTTTAAAAATAAAGTTACAAAAGAGATAATTGAAAAAAAATACAAATTGAGAAAATCTGGAAATTTGGGAAAAGTAACACAATTTAATTGTTACTTTAATAAGCGAAACAAACTTAATTTACTGAATATTTTTAATAATAGCTATTATTAATAAGATTTTTCAAATATTAATTAAAAATTAGATATTTTTACTCAAACCTCTTTAGGAGAAACTCCCCCTATAAGAAACACTTTGGCTATGCATATGCCCGTTTCGTATGGAGAGGTTGCACTACATATATAATTTTAAAAATTCTTAAGCTGAATTATATTTTTCTTACCACGTTTTCAAGTAGAACCATTTTAAGAGTATATTTATATAAATAATTTAAGTTTGGTTATCATTAATGCTTATGTTATTATTATTTAATGGTTAACCGGTTTTAGCTTTAACTTAACATCAGCTAGCACTTTTAACTAAAAACATCGTCTCTCTACCATATGCTCATGGTATTTATTGATAATTTGAAAATTATTTAGTCATAATTGCATACATTATATTCAATGGAGATAATGTGTGAAGCATATGTATGCAACATTACAAAAATAATAAGTGACAAAAATAAAATTCCCTATAATTTTAAATCAAAATAATTACATTGTAACAATTTAGCTTATAATATTATATAATAGTATTACTATTCAATATACAATTAATAATTAACTTTGCCATTATACTTGATTCTTGTTAAAACATAATTAATATAATGTCAATGGGCTCACAAAAAAAACAATTACCAAATACTTAACATATAGCTTAACTTGTTACCATTTTTAAATTTAAATTAAAACTCATTTTTGTTTTCATTAGCATTTTTATTTTAAAATATAAATATAATTTTAGTTTAAAGAGCGATTAATATACAATAATATTAAATAAATATGCATATAATGCAGTAAGGTTGTAGGTTTTTACGCATCACACGCTCACGAATACCTAACTTTCAGCATTAAAGCAAACAGTGCGAGTAAGCGAGTAACCACCAAATGACCTAGGTGACAACAATTAAATACAATTAACAATTTAAAAGGCCAGAATTTTCAGGGTAAATTTCACAAATACCTATCATCCAGTTAACATTTTCCCACATATCATCATCATCCAAATGATATTTATTAAGTGCTAGATTCAATTGCCCGTTTTCGCAGCGGTCGTAGCCATAAATGGCAATCATTGTCGCGTAAAATGTGAATCTATGGTAAAACATATGACTCACTTTACGGGTGAACCACTCGGCGGTTGTGAGTCGTAGAGAGAAACCGTTGATCACATACGATAGCATATAATAGCCGATACCTAATGTCGCCGCCAATTGATAATTAGTGGAAAATATTATGCCAAATATACTGCCCGTACCCGCCACTATACACATTCCTCCCGTCTATATAAAATAATAATACACTATAATAATACTTTATATTATATAATTTTAAGCATAAATTATTGAGCTCATTTACGCAGACACTCGTAAACACTATTATAGTTAAAAGTATAAATTAATTTTATAATTACCGCGATCATCGTAAAGTACGCCCACCGGAATGCGTCCGACTCCTGATCGCTGATGAAGTACATCATTGTTGAATAGATGACTCCAATGGCCACTAATACGGGTAACTCAACGACACATTTGCTCCAATAGTATGCGCCGGTTGTGTACCACCGGTTCCGGTGTTCGTTCATAAATACCTTGATTTCAAGCGGAAATATGAGTAAATTGATGGATATTGACATCAGGCCAATGGATACGTGTCCATAAAACAATAGCCTAATGTTATCCATCAGTAATAACTCGGTGGACACCAATTTTAATGCCCGCCCGGCGGACGTGCTATTGCGGTCGATTAACCGGTCAATACAGGCGGTGCGCTGACCGACATCAAAGTCGTATACATAACTGAATGCAATCGTTAATGTCATGCAAAATATTAACAGCGCCAGACTCGACATATAATCGTATTTGACCTTAATGTTTGTCGTTTAAAAATAATGAATGAAAACAATAAGAGATTACTTTAGATGAGATTATAATAATAGCTAAAGCTAAAAACTAACGAGTAAGTTTTATAATCTTATACTATTAATAGTACTAGTTATGAGCCTTAACAAATTAATCCATAAATTACCAATTACAATAAATTAACAGCAAATTACTTGTAAACATACTTACAAAGCGCACAAAACCCCTTAATGTCAGGTAATATAAGTGATAGAAATTGAAATGTAATTTATTTCCGGGGATTGAATTTGAAATCAACTGTCCGTCTCGTCGACACTCGTCTCGTAACTCATTTGTCAAATGCTTTGTTTTCTCGATTAGTCTATCGATGGCATCGCCCGACTCTTCACTCCCTTCGCCGCACTAATTGTTAGATATTATTAATTGTTTATAAAATATATTTAAAGTATGTTAAGGCATATACTGTATAACTAAATAATAATATAAATAAAAATCTAACCTGTAATCTCTCAATAGATACGTAACCGACGGTTAATAAAGCTTTGTTTGGAAATTTGGATGCGATTTTCAGCATAAGCTCAATGGGTGCGAACTCTACCGGACAGGCAATGCCGCAACTGTTGAGGTGTGCCCTGATCTGAGCGGACGGACCGGCGTATACACAGTGACCACCTTTTGACAGGACATACAACTGGTCAAAGAGCGATAGGATTAGAGAGTTTGGCTGATGTATTGACGTGACGATTGCCATCTCATGTTTTTCAGTTAGATGTTTCAGACATTGGATTACCTCAACAATTATGAAAACAATAAAATGATTTTTAAAAATGATTTTATACTGAATTACAGTTGAAAATTACGATTTCTGCTGAATTGCTGTCTAAACCACTCGTCGGTTCGTCAATACACAAGAGGTTGGGTTTGGTTTGTTGTACTAATTCCAGACCCACTGTCAGGCGCTTCCGCTCTCCACCACTGCATCGCTGGACAGTTGTGTCCGCGCAGTCCTCCAGAAGCAGTTCACACAACAGTCGCCGAACATTCATAGAGTGATCAAACTTGCCGTCGATGTCCAGCGGCTCCAACTCCTGTCCGAACCCAAACCCCGACTCGAGTGCCGTTTTGTCGCTTTCAAACGCCGCCGACGGAGCGATATTAACGGGTTTGTCGTATATGTGCCCAATGGTCACTCTGTTCTTGATTTTCGAGGCAAACACTAGGGATTCTCTGTTTTGTAATGTTTAAAAAATTATTTTAAGTGCTGTTAATAAATATATACCGTAAAATTCCGTTAATAACGCGCATCTCTAGAACTGCAAGCATTATAAATAAAAGATTTACTTATAATAAGATGTAATTTGCGACGTTTTTACTGTTTGTTAATTAATTAATAGTAGTATTTATACTTAAAATAATTGAGAATTCTATTAATTAAGAATAACTAACAATAACTAAATATAAGAATCAATTCATGGATTTTAACGCATTCAGTTTATAGTGATATTTAACCCAAACATCAATGTATAGTGTACATGGTTAATCTGAATAATAACTAACCTAACAGTTAATCCATTGAGAATGTGTTCGGTTTCTGATTGCATAATAAAAGCGGTTTTCAATTGAGTTGTTTTGCTGACAAAGAGTTGTGTTTCTGGACTCAGGCCTCTGTTTGAGCGCATATTCACGCACTTCAATAGCGTTGACTTTCCCGCACCCGACGGACCCATGAGTGCCGTCAATGAGTGGAAAGTGATTCTACCGTTCAATGCGTGCAAAATAGTGTTCGGCTCACGATTTCGGCCAAACAGACCCTTTCGGCCGTAACTCAAGTCACACCAACCCATCGCCAACTCATTCACATTATACTTATGGCCTGTATTTTTAACTTTACTCTAAATTGATCATGAGCAATTAAAGCAAAATTAAATTTGTAATATTTATAATAATTATGGAAACAAAATAAATATTATTAATTTTAATATTTTAAATACAATCCAACTTCTCTTGAGGAAACACTTTTTCCTAAGCAACACTGACGGTTTCTTATATACAAGTTGAACTGTATTTGTTAATCTTACATTTTCTTACCACGCTTTCAAGGATAACCATTTCGGTAGTAAATTAATATAAATAAGTTAATTTTTGATTTTTATATATCTAAATTTACAACAATTTATAATTTGAAACTAAAATATTTACTAGGAAATGCAAATGTGGCAGGCACATGTATCCAGCATTACAAATAAAACATGTTACAATTGGAAATTTATTCACGATAAATTTGTATGAAATAGATTTTATTATAATAATATTTTTGCCATTAAATATTAATATAAATCATTTACAATTCACATTAACTTTAATTTTTAATCCATACCAAAAACAATAAATACAAACATTTTATTAATTTTTTTTGCAAAATTCTATTATTCACCTTATATTATTGTCTACTTTATTAACAATCTTGTTCGTTTATTAATAACAATATTTATTAATTTATATCAGGATATATTAGCATAATATACCTAATTATATTAAGTAAATTAAATGTTAATTATAATGAATACTCTTTTTGTATTTGTTTCTTCAGATTGTGATAACATTTAAACCTCTTCTCGGAATTTATCTAATAAAATAAATTATGTAAATCATAATAAACAAGACCAGAATTAACATGTTAAACTTACCATTGCCTCAGTTTGATCCTGATACTCTACTTGATATATGCACCACTGGGTGTCAATAATAAATGTAACCAATGAAAACACTTTGGCCTCCTTTATAAGCCTTTGGTGTGAATTGATCTCCAATTGTGTAAAAGAGTTGCCATTAATTGCTGTCATTTCCCGGATATAGGCGTCGATGAAGACCAGCATCTGGTCATCTGTCGGGTAGTCAGCCAAACCAAACTGTGCATCGTTTTGACCCCAACTGCTGAAATAATGGCCAAAATCAATGCCCCTATGATTATACGTTGAGAAATCAAAATCAATAAAATAAATGTCCATTTGTTGCGAGTTTTCATCGTTTGTTTCGCGCATTAAAATGTTTTTCCGATTGAAGTCATTGTGAGAGAAGACAATCGGACTCTTGAGGTCGACCACAATATTCTTAAGCCATGACATCTCTGCCAACAGATCCAATGTCTCAAACGTCTCGTATCGGTGTTTCTGTATTTCCTGATAAGTCTTTCCCTCACGTAATGACTGTCTCTGTCTTTCATCAAACCATTTGATGCCAAAAATATTGTTTATAAATTCATGCGATTTGTCTTTAGGGACCGGCATTTCCGTTGAGTGCAATCGCGCCAACCGTTGCGCCAGTAGTGCTACTGCTCTCGGGTTGCGATCATCACTACCGCTGAAATACCGGCACTAATTGCATAAATATATATATTTATAAATATTAATTTTTAAAACTCATTGATTATTACATTAATGAATTCACTAATGAACCCGTTGTCAAATACGCCCAGTATTTTAGGCGCTAAACCCAAATGGGATGTTATGAGTCCAATAGCCAGCACTTGATGGGCGTTAAAATATTCGGACCATTCATTTTTCTCTTGACTTCTGACCACAACTTTATTATATTTTGTGTGATTATTATTTTCGGGAAGAAAACAATAAAACAATTCATTTGTAAAGCCATCCCTTAATTCAATAAAAAATATTATTATATTTTAGAAAATTAATAGAAAATGCTAATTAAATAATCTTACTTGTTTTGTGTAATAATGAGGTCATTTTCATTAATATTAGCCCATTTTCCACTTAATAAAGTTTTACACAATTCATATAATTTCGTCCGTTTGGCGTCAGAAATGATTTCCATTTTAATATTTTGTTTATTTTCATATGATTAATACAAATTAAATATTTAATTGATTAAACTTAAAATAGTTATAAAAATCTCTATTTATATTGAAATATAAACCAAATAAATTGCACTCTAAATGTTAGTTATAATACTGTACTTAAAGTTATATAAATGAAAGTATGATAAGGAGCAAGGTCATATCTATTTATTACATTTATATTAATGCTAATTAAACAGTATATGTTTACACAATACTTAATTTTTAATTAATTACATCCCTAAATAATTATCTAAAAGTTACATGATTTATGTTTTATAAATGAAAAGTAAATTAAAATATTATTAATTAGAGTAATAATGTTTATTAATAATACTTCATCAATTAATACATCGTGATTTAAAATCAATTTCGTAAGATCTTATATTAAATATGCAATAATGTAATTAAAATTTATCATTTTCTAAAATTGTTTAATTCAAATAACCATAATTATTTATTGAAATTCGGGATATTTATCCAATAGACGATCCTTTAATACTTTATAGATTTTTAATATTTTCTCTCCTTTAGGCTAAAAATAAAAACATTTAATTAAATAAATGTAAAATAAATATCAAATTTACCATCATTTCATGTCTATGAACGTTGTGCTCCTGAACAGACCATACAATCATTTTCATGAAACATAGCAATGAAAAAACTTTCGCTTCTTTTAAAAGACTTTGTCGTGAATTAATGTCCAATTGTGTAAAAGAGTTGCCATTAATTGCTGTCATTTCACGGATATAGGCGTCAATAAAGACCAGCATCTGGTCATCAGTGGGAAAGGGTTTGTCCCCGAAGTCCAGCTCTGTTTGGCACCAATTCATAAAATAGTCGCCAAAGTCTACGCCTCTAAACATATAACAACTCCAGTCAAAGTCGATAAGGTATACGTCCATAGGCTGGTCAGCGCCGGCATCCCTGACCAGAATATTACGCCTCACGAGATCGTTGTGCGCAAACACTATCGGACTGTTAACCTGTGCGGACACACGTCTGATCCAATGTATCTCCTCCAACAGATCCACTGACATCAGTGTCTTGTAGTCATTCTTCCGGATCTCTTCGCGAACCAAACCCGCTCTATAGGACTCCCGATCGGACTCTGGGAACCCGCTATCAAAAAGCATTTTCATATACCATTCGGTGCTGTCCGTAGGTATCGGCATATCTTGTAAATGAAATTTTGCCAATTTTTGTGCCAACAAAGACACTGCCATAGGGTTCAGGTCATCGCTGGCGTTGAAATAACGTGACTAGTTTTGCGCATAAATTAATTATTATAGCAATAATAATACAATATAATTTAGTTTAATAGTACCTCGATAAATTCACAAATATTCCCCATATCAAAGACAGCCAACATTTTTGGTGATATATTATTCTCGGATAAAATCACATTAATTGCTAATAAATGGTTTAGATTTACACCACATCTCTCCAGATAATTGAAATTTTGATATTTGACCACAACTTTTGAGTATTTTGTTTGTCGATCATTGGATTCGGGGAGAAAACAGTATAATGTTTTACTCACAAACCCGTTCCTTGTGATTAAACGTGAAAATATGAAAATAAATAAATTAGTTGGTATTTATTAAAAATATATTTTTTGCTAATACTTACACCGCGGATTTAATGACCAATTGGTCGGCACAAACATCACTCCAATCGCCGCCTAAATATGTTTTACATAATTGACTCACATTTAGCCGATCCTCCGCTAAGACTATGCTTTCCATTTGAAATAATTAATTTATATATAAATGAATTAGTTTTTTTAAATGAATTAGTAATGAATATAAATATTTAGAGTCACTTTTATATACGGTATAAAGTTCTACATGTATGACAACTGATAAATGTAAATATTATCGATACAGTACTTAAAATAATTAGATTAATTGTAGGTACGAGTTTTGGTAACAGCTGTATTTTTACTATGATGACGAGTAATATAAATTGACTAGTGTAATAATGAGTTTTGGTTGCACGTGAAACACAGAATTTGAGTATTACTTAAACAATACCTGGTAAAAGTAAAAAGTAGATTCATACTCGAGTAGCTAATAATTGTCATATTATGTGAACTATTTTTCAATAAATAATAAATAAATAATACAGTTGGAAAATTAAATAGTATGCCAAATAAACTAATAACTAATCATGGAAAATTAGGTGGTTCTAATTTTACAGGCATATAACAGATGAAACAACAATTTACAATAATAGGCTAGGTCCTAAAAATCTGCAATAATTAACATGTAAAAATTTTAATAAAATTGTTCTTGATTAACTAACCATCCATTAATCCAAATTTAATTTATTAAAAATTAATCTTTAATTAATGCCTTTAAGTTTTAATAACTTACTAAAAATAAAATTTCTAATGAGTATGTAACAGTAATTACTTACTAATTAATTTTATTTATTTTTGTTATTAAGTTAATTTTGTAAAATATTGTATTTATTCAATTAATGCCGAGTAAACAGTGTATTTCAATACTGTTCTTAATTATGTATTGTATGTAAGTATTACGGAATTTATTTTGTATGAATAAATTAAAAAGTAAAAAACGTAATTAATTATTGTTATAACTTAATATTTATATATTAATTTTTAAAAATATAACAAATATAATGATTACATTGTACATTACATTATTAAATATAAATTTAACTCAATCAATTATTTATGATGCTTTATTGAAATTCTGGATAGTCTTCAATTAGTCGATCCTTTAATAACTTATAGTTTTTAAATGTTTGCTCTCCTTTAGGCTAAAAATAAATAGAAAATTACAGTAATTTAATAAATCTAAATCTAAAATTACAATATTTACCATCATATCTATTGTTCTAATTGCCCAGGTCACCAGTTTCATGTAGGAAAATAAACCCAACACTTTCGCCTCTTTTATAAGCCGTTGGTGTGAATTGATCTCCAATTGTGTAAAAGAGTTGCCATTAATTGCTGTCATTTCCCGGATATAGGCGTCGATGAAGACCAGCATCTGGTCATCGGTAGGAAAGGGTTTGTCCCCGAAGTCCAGCTCTGTTTGGCACCAATTGATAAAGTAATCGCCAAAGTCTGCGCCCCTAAACATATAACTACTCCAATCCAAGTCTATTAGGTATACGTTCAGAGGCTGACCAACACCTGAGCCCTCTCTCACCAAAATATTACGCCTCATGAGGTCGTTGTGCGAGAAGACAACCGGACTCTTAACCTGTTTGCACACACGTTTGATCCAATCTATCTCTTCCAACAGATCCACTGACATGAATGTCTTGTAGTTATTCTTCCGGATCTCTTCGCGGACTAACCCGTGTTTATATGACTCCCGATCTGAGTCTGAGAACCAGATCTCTAAATTCATCTTCAGATGCGATTCTGTGCTGTCTTTAGGTATCGGCATATCTATTGAATGCAGTTTTGCCACCTTTTGGGCCAACACTGACACTGCTGTGGGGTTCAGGTCATCGGCAGCAGTGAAATAACGCGACTAATTATGTAAATAAATTAATTACTATAACAATAATAATTCAATTTATCATTTCATACATCAATGAATTCACAGATATTTCCCGTTTCAAAGACGGCCAACACTTTCGGCGATATATTATTCTCGGATAAAATCACATTAATTGCCAACAAATGATTTAAATTTACACCACATCTCTTCAGATAATTGCAGTTTTGATATTTGACCACAACTTTAGGGTATTTTGTTTGCGGATTATTAGTGTTAGGCAGAAAACAATATAGTGTTTTATTCACAAATCCATTCCTGGTAATTATACATGGCATTTATGGAATTTAATAAATATGCCCATTTTTGTTATCAAACAATTTTTGCTAATATCATACTTACGCCGCGGGTTTGATGACCAGATCGTCGGCGCAAACATCACTCCATTCGCCGCCTAAATATGTTTTGCATAATTGCCACACATTTAGCCGATCCTCAGCTGAAACACTGCTTTCCATTAGAAAATAGTAATTTATATTAAATTAGTTAGTTTTTAAAATGAATTAGTAATGAATAGAGAGTCACTTTTATATACAAAGTTTTACATGCATGACAAGTGATAAATGTAAATATTATCAATACAGTACTCAAAATATCCAGTCCGTCATTATCTATTGTCGCCTTAGAAATCTTTATATCTCCCAAACAAATAGAGCTAGATCAAATCTGTAAACTGTAATGTGTTGGTCCATATATCTAGTATTTTTGTAGAAAAAATAATTAAAATCACGTGACTAGATCATATAGATTTTTGGGTCATTTCGAAATGTCATGGTTTTTGCCAAGTTGAAAAGGGGGTCGGGAGGGG